GGCCCATGTTCATCTTGGCATCAATGATGACTCCAAGATCCTTTTCTGCCTCTGCACAGATGAGAAGGGAGTTCCCCAGCCTCTAGGTATGCTGCTCGTTCTTCCTTCTCAAGTGCATCATCTTGCACTTGTCAGTGTTGAATGCCATCCTATTCTCATCCGCCCACCCTTGTAACCTGTCTAGGTCTGATTGTAGCCTATTCCTCCTGTCTAGCGTGCTGACATCCCCCCACATCTTAGTGCCATCAGCAGATTTGAACAGGGTGCTTTTTTACCCCCTCGTCCAAGTCACTGATGAAGATGTTGAACAGTGCAGGCCCGAGGACCGAGCCCTGCAGAACCCCACTGCCCACATCCCTCCAGGTCGAAAATGACCCATCCACCACCACTCTCTGGTTGGCGACCCATTTGACTGTGTAGGTGTCGACACCACAGTCCCCCAGTTTTTTAATAAGAATGGGGTGAGAGACAGTGTCGAAGGCCTTCCTAAAGTCCAGAAAGATTACGTCTACTGCTACCCCTGCATCTAAGGATTTGGTGATCTGGTCATAGAAGGCCACGAAGTTGGTCTGACAGGACCTGCCTTTAATGAACCCGTGTTGGTTGCCCCTAAGCATAATCTCCCCTGCTGGCCCCTCGTGGGCATGTGCCAGAATAATTATCTCAAAAAGCTTACCCAGGATCGAGGTAAGACTAACAGGCCTATACTTTCCTGGGTCCTCCTTCCTCCCTTTTTTGAAGATGGGAACCACGTTGACCTTCTTCCAGTCCTCTGGCACCACACCAGAGCACCACGAGTGCTCATAAAGCCGTGCCGGGGTCCTGCAATGACCTCAGCTAATTCCCTCAGCACTCTGGGGTGGAGATTTCCTAGTGTGTCTGGCAGGGGCCCCACGTTACCCAGTACCGTCTTTTTGCCCCCTGTGTATTTAAAAAAGGACTTTTTGTTGTCCTTGATCCGGGTAGCTAGTCCCAGTTCCATCTCCACCTTGGCCTTCCTGACTGCCCCCCTGCAGCCCTGAGCAACCGCGGTATAGTCCTCCCTGGCAATGGCCCCTCCCTTCCATTGGGTGTATGCCTCCGTTTTAGCTAGGAGACGTTCTCGGATACTTTTGGTGAACCAAATGAATAACTCTTGAAAAAAAACAGAGAAATAAACAGAAGGTTTGGGTTTGCTAATATCCATAATGTGGCTCATCTACAAATGGCAGTGGCATTTCTACTTAGTGATTGTTTCTTTTTGGGAAATAATTTTACTTTGCTTGTGTAAAATGTCTTTTTGCAGTACAGTTTACAGCCTTGCACTCACAAGTATGTTAAACGGTTCCAAGAACTCTGAATTAGAACATGCCAAGTGATCATGCAGCTTCTGTGCAATCTTTTTTGAAGCAGACCATATGCCAGAGTGTTCAGATTTGAGTTTGAATTTGGGATGCCATAGGTATTTGAATTCGGTCGTGCAGTAGGTGTATTAAGAAAAGTACATGCAGAAATTGATGTTCCTTGTAAATGGAAATCTGTTACAGTGTATTGAGCTGTTGAAGATGCTAACATATTTCTCTTCTTTCACAAAAGTATGGAAGTTACAGTGGTCAGATGCCTAGAATGCAAATGGCAGTGAGACAGCCAATGCCAGGAGCAGTACCAAATATGTCTTATGCTGGATACTCTGGATATTCTGCATATTCTGGTACTTATTCTGCTGCTGCTGACCCCATGTGGATTTACTTCACCGCTGTTGCTGGACAGGTAAGGTGATACAAGCAGTGTAATTAAGTTAGCTCTGTGATGAATTAGACCTACCGATTTTCTCTCTCTCTAAAAGAAACTGAACACCTTGCTCAGCTGAGTGATGTGAAAGCTCTCAAAGTAAGAATCGTTTTTAGGTAAAACTGACGAGTATATGACAATAATTGTAATTAAAATTGGTACTTTAATTTCTAACTGGCATCCCCTAACCTCAATGAATTAAACTGTTATGTTGTTCATGAATAGTAATAAAGAGGCTAATGCTAGTGGTGACTTGTAAATGAGTTTTGTCCTTTGTTACTGTATTTTTTATTATTTTTAAAAAACAATCTTGAAACTGGAACATTTGAAATAATATAGTTCTTCAAAAGTGCTTAGGGGACAGCCAGTTACTTTACACAAACCCATTGCACCCCAGAAATAAAAAAGTGAAATTCAAACTTTTGCAGACTTGGTAGATGTACTGTGTCATCAATAAGCTAGACTTACTTACATTTCTATAAGTTTAGAGGTGCATCGATACATTGGTTTGATATTGGATTGGCACCGATATAAAGAAATTGATTGCATTGGAAATCGGCCTGATATGGCTGATAATTTGGCCGATAAATGCTCGTGCCTTTGCACAGCTGCAGCGCAGCATACAGGCAGCGAGGAGCTACAGCCCAGCAGCGTAGAGAACTGCATGCAGCTGGTAAGTCTGTTGTGTTGGAAGGGGAGGGGGGAGGGAAGTGGCGTGAGGGTGGGGCAGATCAACCCCTCCATGGTGAGGGAGGGAGTGAGGCAGGCACTGCTCAGCTGGGGTGGGGTGGGGTGGGGAACAGAGCTATGGCTTATCTGGGAAGCATGGGGCAGGAGGGTGGTTTCCGCTGCTGCGTGCACCCTGGGAGGGCACAGTGGGGGAAGAGGTGTGCCTCCAGGTCTGTACAGTGGGGGGTGGGGTAGGCTGCAGCTGTGGGCTGGGGTCGGGGCTGTGTTCAAGGCAGGCAATGGCGATGCTGGGAGAGGGCTATGGGGGGATCTACACTGAAATTTGGGGTGGCTGCAGCCTCCTCCCCCCCCATAACCCTCCTCCCAGTGCTGCTGCCATCTGCCCCAAGCACAGCACAGCCTGGCCCAGCCCCTCGCTCCAACTCCCTTGCACCAGGAAGAGCCCAGTGCAGCCCCGGCCCCATCCTGAGCCTGCAGCTGCAGCCTCCCCCGCCCCCTCTAGGCAGATCTGGGGGCACATGCCCACCGCCCTGTGCCCTCCTGAGGTGTGTGCAGTGACAGGAACCGCCCCCCACCCCATGCTTCCCAGATGAGCCACAGCTCTGTCCGGTGCTGCATCCCACCCCTGCTGGGCAGTGCCTACCCCAGTCCTTGCCCTACTCCCTCCCTCACCTTAGGGGCCTTAACTGGCTCCCCCAAACCTCTTGCCTCCCCCATCCACCACAGCACACTTACCAGGTGCATGCAGCTGTATTGGAAATTGTATTAGTATTGGCCGATATGCTGCCTTAAAAATCAGCTATTGGTATCGGCCCCAAAACTCTGTCAGTGCACCCCTAGTGACTGGCTTACTCAGACAGGAGCATGGTTGTGAAGCTTTGAAAATACCAGTGGCATGGTGTAAGATAGGTATGTTAAACACTGAGAGTATTGTATTAAGTACTCACCAGTTTTATTGAATGGGGACAAAAACAGGTTCTCTTAAGTTTTTCCAGTCTGCATTATAAGCCTGTAATGGGAGCAATAGTAACAGAACAAAGAGTAAGAGGCAGCAAATCTGTGACCTGGAAAAAGAGATCTGGGGGTCAGTGGGGGTTGGCAAGGATTCACAGAGGTCATGTGCATGGCCCCACAGGTAACTGTTCTCTAGAAGGTTCTGGGATTTGTGGTGCCAATACGCACCTTCCCAAGAGCGTGGATCTACAGAGGCAGTGTAATTGAAGATCTCCAGTTATAGGTGAGTGACCTTCTTTTCTAGATTAGAGGAGCTGCTGTTTGCTTTTGACAATTTAAATTGCAGTTTTTACAGATTGAGGCTGTGATTCTCAACTTCTTGTTTGACTTCAGCTCCAAGAATACAGATGCTTTGTGTTGCCTTGATTTGCTTTCCTGACTAACTTTTCTCCTTCATTTCTCCTTTGGTGCAGAACACCTTTATTTTCTGTTTTTGAGAGGAATCCTATCCTTCCTTTGTCCCTACCTGTGAAAGCAGGAGCCGATGGAAGTAATCAATTGCATTGGGCTAATAAGCTATATAACAGCTACAGCCTATACAGCAACAAGATTTTTAATGGATTGGAGTGTTGTTGTATTGCATTCTTAAGTCCAGAAATCATATGAAAATTGCTGCAGAGCTACACTAGAGCAATATCTCATCTCCCTCGGTTCTGTTCCTTCCCTAATGATACTCAAGATATTGTCATGCTTTCTAGGATGTCATACTTTCTGGAAAGACATGACAAGGCATTATAATGAAATGGTCCCAACTATGACATTTATGACTTCCCTTGGAAGGACATTTGGACTCTTACTGATTAGAGGCTAGATGCAGCTTCATGTTTACCTCTGAATTGAAGACCTGTATTTGAGTATTCTATATTGGAGAATGAAACAAAAATTGATGCTGCCGAGGAACTGTCATTTTCTGTCTGTTGACTGGAATAGTACTAGGGCTTCTGTGAGCTAGTAAGAGTGCTCACTTCAGACTATTCTCCTGGTCTTAAAGGTGCAAAGTTTTATGCCTGTGCATACATTTCCATTCACAGGATTTGAGTCTGAGTGCATAGCTTGTGTCTTTGTTATATATGGTAATAGTTATTTTTCAAAAATCATAGTTTTGCTATTGACTTTTGAGGCTTGGTCCCACAGTGCATCTTAAATCATAGAATTGTAGGATTGGAAGAGATCATTAAAGTCAGTGTGTCCATCCTGTTGCACAGATACAGGATTCATTATTCCTAATCCATCCCAGACAGATGCCTATTCAGTTTCTTTTTTAAAGCCTCCAATGAAGGAGATTCTACAACTCCCCCAAGCAGCTCATTCCACTATCCTATTGTTTTTACAGTGAGGAAGGGCTTTCATGAGTTTTGATCTAGTAGTTTAAACTCATTCCCATATGCCCTGCTGTGTAGCAAGGGAAAACTGTGTTACTTTATATTCTTTATGTTGGCCTTTCCAATCTTTGAAACTGCTATCATGTTCCCCCTTAATTTGAGCAGGGGAAGCAGTGGCCCCAATAAGATTTCTGTGAGTTTCACACTGCTGTTCCAAGCATAATAAGCAGCTGTGGATCAGGTGTTTTCCAAGATGGAGAGAAGCTATGATAGGCCTTTAACAGACTGGGAGAAGAACCTTCAACAATTACTGCAAATACTTCTGTCTTTCCTGGGCTGCGTGGTGGTTTTGGAGGGCAGCTGCATCTGATTCCTTAGTGGGTAACTGAATTATTAGCTGAGGGAAGAAAATAAAAGGGGGAAGTAATATAAATCTGACTTGCTGTCTGCCGAAAAGAAAGAGAAATAGGAAGAAAAGGACTGCAATAGCCCCCCACTTCTATTCAAGATTCAAAGTAGTGCCCGAGTGCCTAGCAAGGTTATGAGATACATTCATAAACATAAAGTGGTTGGAGGGGGAAAACCAGACGGCTGCTTTTAGAGTGAGGATTGTGTGTTTTGGATGCATTTGAATTGACCTGTTAGCTAAAAATAAAATTCAAATTAAAAATCTTCCCCGTTCCTAAAATCATGAAATGTCCTTCACCCTGACAAATAGGAAATTGAAACTAGGCAAAGGCAATCTTGATTCTCCATTTGCAGCTTTTACAACTTTTAGTCTAATAAAGATTTCTTACTAGTTTCCAGGAGTCTGTCTCTGAAAATAACTTTCTTTAAAGTTCACTTGGTTTTTGACAGCCAAGTTCTTTGGTAATGTTGTGTAAGGATATACATACTGTGGCACTGTGTCCTCTAGTATGTTACATAGACTTAGTGAATTCAAAACTAGATTGAATCAAGATTTTGTTTTACAGGCATAACATTTAAGCTTAGATCATGCGTGCCCCAAAGTATACATACACTATGCTTGCTGAAAGGTGCAAGCCCACACAATCCTAAACAGCAGAGTGGACAAACTCTCAAATGAAGAAGTTGCTGAATGCGAGGGTTCTAGAAATAAGTAATATTGGAAACTTGCTAAGATACAGATAAGCAACGTGTTTGCTCCCTTATAGTTCATGGGGTGTGCTTTATAACGAAGTCGTGAGAGTGAGTATGTTTCTTAGTTTGCAGAGGCCATTCCATTCTCAGTGTGAAAAACTGATTTTGAACTACAGAAATCAGAACGCTTAGCATGTTTCTGTTGTTTGCTGTTTTTCTCCCATAATTCTGAAATGGCATGCTTCATTCGTAGTGGTCTGTAAAAGGATAGTAAGAAAAACTTTGTATCTTCCATGTGGAAATCTGCATTCTCTCTGCAGTTGCAGTTCATTCTATTCCAGACCTATTTGCGGGAATTACTACTCCATTTAAGTAAAAGTAGATTACAAAGCTGGTTACTATTGTCCAGTATTCCATATTTCCATTTCATGGGCAGTAACTGCTTTATGACATGACAGACCTTGATGCTTGTATTAATCTCTCTAACTTGCATGAACATCTGTTTGTGGAACTATGTAACAGAAGCTCCTACTTAAAGTATGTGGATAAGGCACAGAATTAAGATTTTTATTAAACCCTTTTGAAATGTTAACTGAGCATTTGCTGATCTTTAGAAGTTTTTTTTTTTCATTTTTTAAATCTCAAGTATAATACAGTAGTAAATTTAGTTTTTTGTAGGGGGAATACACATTCACTCCTGAAGTACATGGCATATAACCACAATCTGTCATCTACCATGTAGCAAGACCAGTGGGGTGATGGAAGTGCTGGCCTTGACTCTCAAAGAACTAAGCAGGTAGAAATTCATAGAAACATGGGGATTTAATTGTTTTTGTGGGGAGGGTCAAAAGGGAAAACTATATTTCTGAGTTTCATCATACTATTGATATGGCTAGTAAATAAGATTCAGAAATATAATATTCACCTCACTAAAATTTAAGCTAATCAGTTCTCTTCTTTCTCTTCATCCTCTCTCCTTTCGTGTGAGCTTACCCACTGAAAAAATGTCCTTCTCACTCTCTGAGAATGTACGCTCAACATTGTAGAGTCTCTCAGTTCAGTAAAGCTGGACACACTCTTAAGTCCTGCCAATACTGCCTCTTAGCTAGAGAGTTAGTAGAGAGCATGTGACTATGTATGTTGTCTGCCTGATGTTAATAACCCCTTCTATAACATAGCGATGTGTGAAGTTCAGTAGTTAGTGCTCCATGCAAATAGAATACCCCTTTCCCCTTCGAGATGAGGATATTCCTTCATGAAATCCAGTGATATAAATGGATGAGTCTTACCAGAAGTCAGGTAATTCTGCTTGTGGGGACTTTCTCTTCTCAGAGTTTGCTGTCTTTGTATATTATCCAATAGGAAGGGCCACAGACTAGTGGGTCAAATGTGAGAAAATATGGGGTTTAAACCTCAGGGGAAAACGTAACTTCCACTTACTTATGAGACAAGCTCACCCCAAATTCTTTCTTGTTTATGTTGGTATATTATAATAATTTCAAAGCAATAATACATATCTTGTAAAAGCTACATAGAATGAGTTTGTAAGTTCAGTGTACTCCACTTAAGTGCACAGCCTCAGGATTGAAAAAAAAGTTTTTCATTTACCTGGGAAAGGTAACTTACTGTAAAACAGGTGTAGGCAACCTTTTCCAGCTGCAGGCCAGAATGACCTGTGGTTCATAAGAGGCAGGTGGGCAGGCCCTGGGATCCAGCTGCTGCTTGTTTCTGTGGTGGCATGAGGAAAGCACCCACAGCTAGAGCCCCCTGCCACCAAATGGCACTGAAACCCCATGTCCATGGGCCAGATCCAATGGTTCTGTAGGCAGATTCCAACCCGTAGGCTGCAGGTTACTGCCTCCTGATGTAAACACTGTTAGTTAAATACACAGTACTGCAAATGCTGTGGTATTGGCTGGCCTGAAACTGCCAGCTCCCTTCATTTTGAAGGCTTCTGATAGCCCAGTATTAGAAGTGTTCCAAATGAGTGGAGCCAGTCATTTTGAGGGCTGCTAATACCACAGCACTAATAATGCTTAGCAAGCACTGCTTACAGCACTGCCTGTGCTGTGATATAAGTCAGTTTTGGGGTTACTGTCTTCTCTCATTTTTCCACAGCAGTCACTGTTGGGGCTGCTATTAGAAACTCTGATTATGAGGGCAAATAGCATCTGTGAAAGTAACTAGCTCACATCATTTTCAAGACTTCTAATAACAGCCCTTTGACAGCTGCTCCCCTTCACTGTTTCTGAAACAGTTAAAAGGAGTACAATTAGTTAGAAAATAGACATTTACAATTAGCATACAGTTAGCCAGAGGGCAATTAAGTTATAAAGTAGACAGTGGAGCTGAAAGAAGCTGTGCACTTAAGTGGTTTGTACTCTTAGCCAATATACCAATATTCAGAGTTTGTTACAAATGTAAGCAGTAGACAACAAGTTAGGAATGGCATTGTGTTATACAGTTAAGGAAATTATGCACTTATGTGGTATGCTCATGCGCTGCACAGTCAAAAGTGCTGCTTTCATGTCATGGAGTCTGACAGCCTACCTAATGCAAGATCTGCTTAATGTGTCAGGCGCTTATACTTACTGATAAGCCACAAAACATAGCTTGTTGTCTGTAGTTTTCAGCTTGAAGACAGGGTGGAAGCCCAGCTGATAGGACCTTGCTATAAAGCTCACAATATATCTGGGAGAATCCAGTTTAAAGTCCTTTATCATGTGTTTACTAAAGATGATCTTCCTGTTACATTCACTTGCCTCATGAGATTTTGGCTTTAGAGACTTCTTTTTAGAACATCAGATATGGGTATCTTGAAGACTGTTACTGTTTGGCCTTGGGCTTTTCAAAGATCTAGTTAGCACATACCTATCTGGGATGTTAAGCTTTCAGGTTCACCTCTCCATATTGTTCTTATCTGTACTGTTCCAATGAATACATAATCAGTGTTGGCAATGAAAAGGAGCATACATTTTTTTTTTTCTCTACCCAGCTTCTTGAAGTGCTCTGTGGAGTTACTTCACAGACTGTAATCCTGGGAACATAGCTGAAAAACACCAGAGGGAGCATAAAAAGTAATATTAAATGGGCTAAAAAATGAAACCTTTCTGTGTTAGTCACACGTCATGCATGTTAGATGGTTAATTTAAGGACAGCTTAAATTCCTATTTATTACCTTTCTGCCTGAGATACTCCAAAGTGCTTGGCAGCACTATATACACTGAAATCACTTGGCCATTACTGAAATGCAGCTGCCACCAACTCCAGTGTAGAACATGGTAGCTCTTAGTGGGGTTTTGTTCAGTTTTGAATTGTTGTAAAAGGAAGCAAATACAAGAAATTTAAAACAGCACAGCAGCACTGCACAGTAATTTGATCAGGAAAGGAAAAGTGTTGCCTAGCTGAACTGCAGAAGATAGCTTATAACTGTCAAATTAGGATTTAGCCAAACAATTAAGAATAACATCCCAGTTGCTAATAGCATCATAGGCTGTTTGATGATAGATGGTTAGAATGTTAGTTTTACTGTGTGGTTTAACTAAAGGAACAGAAAGAAGTCTACAGATGATCCTTGAAATAACAACAGAGATGTAATTGGTAAAATTGATTTTTTTTAATTAGTAGTTCAAACTAGAGGCCTTTATAGAAATACTTTTATAGAAGAATTTTAGTTAAATTAAAATTGTGAAAACAGTACAAGTCAGTGCAGAATGTATAATTTAAGCAATAATTTGCTTACAGTATCAGCCACCGTTTAAGAAGTCTATATCATTAGAAGATATCACTGTAACTTTAGTAATGCTGAAGACTAATTTTATTTTAAATGTATATGAATGAGTGTTTTTTCCTAAAACAGACAGGAGGATTTCATTTAATTGCCAAAGGCAATAAATTCTAGTATGTAATCTTAGTGCTGCATATGTTTTTATTAGGATGAGAGATACTTCTACAATAGATTTTTAGAATATTATTACATCGTTATATTGAATTAAATCTTTTGTTTTTGGTTAAATATCTGTATTATTTTTTGCAAGTGGATTTTCATTGTCAAGTATCCGTGACCACAAGTTTATGCACTTTCTTCCACAGGATGGGGAAGTGGATGCTGAGGAGCTACAGATGTGTTTAATGCACTCTGGAATCAGCGGGACCTATTCTCGTAAGACACTGAATGTTGCTATCATATGTTGTCTTTAATTTGTGAACAGTTTTTGAAAGTTTTATTCATAAAGGAATATTTTTTTTTTCTACTCTCACATATGACATTTAATTTCATTTTTGTCTCACACTTCCATTTACCGCTGCCATTTGTCTTTTTCATACTCATAAGGAAATGTCTCAGCCCTCAGTATCAGTACTGAAGATCAGCACAGGTAGTTCATCTGTATAATAGCACCAGGGAACTTTTCTAATTTTCGTGCTTGGCACACCAGAAAACAGAAACGTTTGAATTCACAAGGCCCGGGCACTAGAGGGTGTGAACACCATCCCAAACTTTACCCTTTCTTTGGAATCCTTTGAATGAGATAATATGGTGAAAGAGTTAGCTAGAACACATGCTAACACTTTATTCAGAGGTAGCCCAATTCCATATTTATATTATATAGATTTATTTTGGATAAAAAACCACTTTGCTATATAAGTTATACTTCTAATAAGAAACGTTAATGTTCTTAAAGTGGTATTGTTTGGCCTGGACATTGCCCTGTTGATTCTAAGGCGCTAAGAAGAAATGGTGCTTTGGGTCGCTGATAGACATGGACAAAAAAACCCAGTGGTTTACTGAAAGAGAAGCCACATTAGTTTGGCCTGGCTTGCCCATATGCCTGTATTCAGCGGGGCTTTTTGGCATTTTTATCTAATAGCTGATTAAATCAGCTATTAGATAAAAGTGCCAAAAAGCCCTGCTGAAGCATGCAATCTGTATAGATATTGGGCAAGCTGGGTCAAGCTGACGCAGCTCCTCTTCTGGGCCTGTGGTGCACTTGGCGTGGGGATGTGCTGAACTGAAAGTTAAGTTCCATTTAGATTTTTTTTCCCCACATTTCAGCAGCCTTGGTTTCCACGCATCTCTTTCTCTTTGTCCTGCCAATACTAAATTAGTAAATTGTAAGACAGAGAACTCTACCAAGAAGTGAACTTAGTGTTGTCTGAAGAATGAAATGAAGAACTAAAATCTATTTAATAGCTAGTGTTTTGTTACCTATCTTCCTACTGTGTTTTGTTTTTTTGTGATGATCTTTCCATACTGCTGTATAGCAAAAGCAAAGTACTAACTTGTGTGTTAACTATGTTCACTGAAACTGCAGTAGATACTATAAATGACATCGGTAAGATTGCGCTGGTATTGAATCAGTTTTTGACTATATTTTTCAGCCTTCAGCTTGGAGACTTGCAGAATTATGATCTCTATGTTGGATGTATCCTTGAGGAAATGTATAAGAATATTAAAATTTTTATGTCATTCTGAACCAATAGTGTTCATATGTAAGAAACTTGAACTTCAGGACACTTTAAATTAATATGTTTTAGAACACTGTCTTTGAGTTCTATCGTTTTATCATGTTGCCCAGAATTGGTTACATAAATGTTGTCAATGTGGTTTGTAGTAGTACTGTTGCCTTAGTTGTTAAAATGTACATATATCTTGTAATTTTATAATGAGGTTTTCTCTCTTAGGTTAGCTGTTTTCTAAGTTATTTTTATTAACCAAACAATTAGAGAGATTATACAGGAAAAATGGGTTTTAACGAATTCAAAGAACTCTGGGCAGCTCTTAATGCCTGGAAGCAAAACTTCATGATGATTGACCAAGACAGAAGTGGAACTGTGGAACTTCACGCGTTGACTCAAGTCATTGCAGCTATGGGTAAGATACTTTTTTGAAAACTTCTGAAGCCTAACATTTGTTCTCTAGTGTGCAGTGTGTGTTTTACCACAGTGAATAGCAGGTTATAGTATTTCCAATATGGCAGTTTGTAGTGGATATACCTATTCAATATGATCTTATGGGGGCAGCATCTCAGCTGAGTATAAAGATATTTGCAGAAGCTCTGATAAATACAGACAGGTTTAATGCCCCCACCACTGCTGAACTGGCAGAGGGTCTTGGTCGAGCAGCAGCAGGAGACGGAGGGAAACTGATGACAGGACTCTGTGCATGCTTCACAGAACAGAGGATACACACCAGGCTGAGCCAGTACCATGGTAGGGAAGATTCTAGGAAAATCTTTTTTCTTCATTCTCCCTTCTGAAAACAAAGTGCATATCTAATTTGGGTGTGTGGTGTGCAAATAAATATGGTATTTTTTTAAAGGTATACATCTTGAAAGACCTGGAATACCAAAACAGGAATACTTTCCCACTCTTCTTCCCCATCACCTTTGACTATGTTTCAAGTTTTCCAGAGTTATGAAAGTGGATGAGAGCTTCTCACAGTGTTCCTATAATTTTCTCTTTTTTTGGCTTTCTAGGTTATAGGTTAAGCCCTCAAACACTAGCTGCAATTGTGAAACGCTATAGCAAGAATGGCAGAATCTTTTTTGATGACTATGTGGCTTGCTGTGTGAAGCTACGGACATTGACAGGTACTGTATTTTTTAATTATCTGTGCTGTATGTACTCTTAACATTTTCTCAACTAAAAATGGTAATAGCTGTGGGAGTTCCTTTACATGTAGTTTTTCAGGATTTTATTACTGTATTTTAAAAATTATCTTTAGTATTTTGAGGGATAGTTGATCAGCATTTGCAAAATATAGAAAGTAACATTTTGCTTTTCGTATTTTTTCACTGTAGCATTAGCTTAAATGTGAAAGGAAAGAAAGAAGAATTATTTAAGTTATTCAAAAGTGTTGGGAAATTTGCTTGAAAAACAAGAGAAATAAAAACAGTATTGCTAGCTGAACTTACTTGCTTTATAAAATATAGGCATAGAAAATGTGGAGATTTGCATAGCTACAGTTTACTGAAGTGTCTTATTCTTTTCTAAGACTTTTTCAGGAGAAGAGACAACATGCAACAGGGGTTTGTGAATTTTGTATATGATGATGTAAGTATCTTTAGATAAAGTACTCAGTTTTGTAAAGACTTATACAGAAAGGCTTTTGTTACAAATGACAGACTTGAGCCATACTCATCAAATTTGACTTCCAAATGTTATTTTGCTTTACATTTTTACAGCCTTGTCAGAATGTTTCCTTGGGTATTAACTGTTTGGCTGAATTCGTGTTCATCCCTTCCCCCTCCTCCCCACAAAGAACTACTAAGAACATCCCTTGTATAAAGCTTCCATGGCCTTCATTCTACAAAAACATAAGCCCATGATGAATTCAGTGAAACTATTCACATGTTAAAATTAAGCAAGTGTGGATTATCACTCTAGTTGTGTCCTAAGGGCCTGCACATTATGAAATGATAGAAGTATATGGAAGCAGTAGGGTAATAAAAATAGTTTAGTTGATGTCAGTGGGACTACTGACTGCTGCAGTATGAAGTAATTGCCAGATCACACCTGTAAATTGCAACAGTTATCTGTTTCCTACATGGCACTGAGTATACACTGTACAATTCCGTGTACATTTATGATACATACACAGAATAAGTAAACTGAGTCTGAGCAATTTAAAAGTCACCAATGATTAAAAACAAATTGTATATTTTTATCCTCTGTAATTCTGTAGTCACATCTTAAGGTCTTCATATAGTAGACAGGTCCCAAGTTGTTTCTACATTTTGAGTTGGGATTGTTTTCCCCTCTTAGATAAAACAGAGACAAACTGTTCTTGAACTCTTTGTATAATATGGTTAATAATGCCTGTTGTTCTAGTAATTCATTAACAATTTCCATATGTTCTTTTCTTATGAGTTACCTATTTCAGTATTTTTCCTTTTAGTTCTTGCAGTGTACCATGGCAATCTGAGTGTTGAACTGCTGAAGGAGGTGAAGAGCTCTAACCTGTAAATTCTTCTACTCAGAAGAAATTAACTGAACCTGCTGTGAATAGAAGCTAGTATAGATTTTTTTCATGTTTCTGCCTGTTAAAATATCCACCTTGTGTAAATGGTTTGATTTTTATTGCACGATTCAGAGCAATAAATAATTGTAGCATTGTTGTTATTTTTTATAGAAGCATGGCTTTTTTTATATAAGCATGCATATTTCCAGATGAGTATACTTCTGTGTCAGGCAGTCAAGCTTAATGAAGAGTTAACATACAAACACTTCGCTGCAAGTCACTAGCATAGACTACTTTTATATAAGTTTCGCTTGCATTTATGAGTGGAACAGCAGATGTCCTAATTTTTAATCTAATTGAGGTATTTCTTGTGTCGGCATCATGGTAATACAATAATATTTCTGATGGCATACACTAAAGAATTCTAATATCTTATAGAAATTCAGTGGATTTCACCAGAAATACAAATATTTAAGGTAAAACATGTTTTTCTTTAAATTTGTTACAATAGATTTTTCTAAGAGGCAGACTATTGCCATTTCTTTTTGTAAGGATTTATTTATGGAGTAGAAATTGTTTGTTGAGTACAAAGTTGAGCCCCTCCCTTTTAATTTCTTTTTATTCCCTCCTAGAGAATCTTTGTAGAGTTTATTTTCCTTTCGACATGAAAGCTTTCAAGTCCTTATCTACTTAGTCTTTAAAACCATAGACTCAGTAGACCCTGTAGTTGGTGAAGCTACCCTTGTCCTGAGATCTTAGAAATCCCTTAAGAAAATAACCCAGTGAACAGAAGTGTCCCACTTAGGATAGCTCAAGTAGGTCCTTATTTTTTATGATATTTCAGCAGCACTTCTAACAGAACAGTATTAAAATTAATGGGTATTGACAGTGATCAACTGTTCATCAACTCTTCATCTTGACAAACCTGTTTTGCTCACTCCAAGCTTTGTCAACTTTATAATGTACAACTATCCCTTATCAATCAACTGAGCAGGGATTAAATTGGAGGTGATGTTCATGTCATGCTAGAAGGTGGGAGCTTAATACAATGTGCTGAAATAGCTGCATTCTTAAAAATATATGGGAAAGTCTTTTCATGCTAAACATACTTTGGGCCAGACCCACATTACTTTCATAGATGTCTAAATAGGATTTAGACAGAATTTAGGCACCGACAGGCATTTTTACACATGTTCCTGGATGTGGCACCAGGTGCTTTAATTAGTGAGCTGTGCTAATTAAAAGCACCCGTGCATCACATGTATCAGCATCCCCACGCATCTCCGCACTGAAAAACCGGTGGTGGGGCTCTTTGAACTAAAGCTCCTTGAATGTGTTTTATTTCAGAGCACCCCACCGCCATTTTGTCAGTGTGCAGATGCACGGGAACACTGATACATGTGATACAGAAGGCTGCTGGAGTGTGTCAATTTCTGTGCTTCAGCAGACTTGATTAATCAAGTCTGCTCCAATGCACTGGTTTTCCACATGTGTACGGGAGCCCAGGGATTCTAAAGAATGGATCCAGATTGTCACTGCTGAAACAGGCACAAAGTGCATTCATTACCTAAGATTATCTGTCACTTCCATTTTGGACAGGGAAGTTCCTTGGGTATTAATGGTTGGTACTCTGTGCATACTCAGAATTGATCCTGTTTGATCACCTAGGTACTCTAATTCCTCCCTGAGCTCCACTGTGATCCAGATTGGTGTGGCAGGGGCACGTAAGCTCTGCATAAGTCCTTGAAGGCAACCAAGCTGATAGGCATACTTCAAGGATGCCTAACTCATACCAGCAATGTATCATTCAAGTAGAAATGATGGTAGTGGGGTGCCTACCTTTTGCTTCACCCAACAGTTCTAGGTCCTCCCTAGTATAAGGGAGGATCTTAGTAGTTCTCAACCTTTTTAGACTCAAGGCGTTTCTCCAAAACTTTTCAAAATGTAGTGGCACCCCACTTAAAAATATAAATATATTATGAAATCATAATATACTCACTCCACTACCACTGCTGCTGCAGCCAGATGGAACTGCACCATGCACCTCCTACAGAGCCAGATTGGGAACAGCTGTAGTGGGAGCATGTGCTCTTGTTGCAGCCCTTCCTGATTTAATCCTGCACAGTATCTCCCAGAAACAGGCATGTGGGCCAGGTAAAACTGTCCCACTTGTCTCAGTTGTCAGGACCTTCAGGGGAGCTGAACTGAAAAGTGGCTGCTGCAGAAAGGTGTGTCTTACATTATGGTATGCTACAGCTTACACTGGTTCGGCTTCAACGTGTTCCTGAAAACAGACATGTGAGCAGTTTTAGCCAGTGGCACCCAGCATCATGGCACTCCTGACACATTTTCGTGGTACCCTGATTAAGAACCACTGGAATAATGGAATTCAAACCTACATCTCCCAGTTCCCAGGAGTGTCCTAACCACTAGGGATGGGGGAGAGAATGGGGGCATCCGTACCCCTTCTATGGTAGTCTCAGGCCCACCCTGCAGCTAAGAATGCAAGAACTGTGGGGCCAGAGGGCAAGCAAGCAAAAAGGGAACCTGATTATATCCTCATGGTTAGGGCATTCAGTTGGAAAGGAGGAGACATGATCCCTTCTCTCAGGATTATTTTTGTTTTTCTATCCAAAGACTGTCCAATGTAAAATGCAGATTCAGTCCAAGGGGCAGAAACCAGGACAACCCTCATCCAGAGTGCCCGCAAGACTCAACTGCGGAGTATACACCCCCTTGCATCTTTTCATTCTGGCTCCTTCCATTAGGCTAAAAGTGGGTGGTGCATCAACACCTCTAGTTGGATACCTACTCTCAGAAATATGGCTAGGCATTCTGGATCTTTAGTGAATGGAGGCACGTAATGTGCAGCTTATCTTATGTGTGGAGAGAGGAGCAGAGAGAGTTCAGTCATGCTGTTGTGCTTAGTGTTTTCTATTGGCTAGCCTCCCAAGTCTGCCCATTTCCTATATAGAACACTGAAATGCTTAACTCTTTCTATTTGGATTATGTTTTAGAGGCACCTAAGTCTTCCCATTGATGATGTAGGGATCCTAGGCACCTAAAATTGGTCAATTTAAATTGCTTTCCTGAAGCAGGTGCCTAGATAGATCCCAATGCAAAATGTAGGCACCTGCATGACCAAACTCTCTGGCCCTTCTAGACTTGTAATTCTAATGTGTGTGTGCGTGCGTGCATGTGTCTTTATGTACGTGCATTTTGGCAGTGAGCAGTGTTTTATGTAATTTTGTTCTTTTTACACCTACTCCCATAGTGTCACAAGTATACTAAACATAATTTAAGAATGAATATTTTTTGATACTGAGATGATGTATTCAACCTTCTTGCATCCCTGTTAATTGTGTAACTAACGGAACTAAATTCTCAATCAAACTAAATATTTGTTTGCATATCTTGCTGTTCCTGTCTGAAATATAAATTTATTTGTCCAAATTTAGACCTATCGCAAGTAAGTTTCATGTCGTTATAAAATACTGAATAATATGCTTATAGTGTACAAGTGATTTTATTTGTACAGTAAACAATTTTCCAAGTCATCCTTGAGTTTTTTTTAGAAACAAACATTCAAAAGCTTGTCATTAATTGTTATATTATACAAACCCTGTTATGTAACAGGAAATGCTACAGTTCATAAATAATGAAGTATGTCATCTAGTGCAAAAGTTTGCCAAGCTTTCTTGTCTAAATATCCAACTTTGCAATTCCATATTAAAGTAGCATCATGGACCATTTTAAATGCATATATGGGAGGCAGATTACTTCTATGGGAGGTCTTAATTTGGTCCATCTGATTTCCATTCCAAAGAGAATAGTCACACTGTATATTCATTAATAATCTAAAAACTTCCCAAGTGGGCAGTAAAAACCAAGTAGCAAGATGGAAAATGCTAACTCATGAATAATGCAGTTCCATCCACTATTCATATGTAGGTCTACAGTGAGAAAAACAGGCTCTCCATAGTGATTCATTCATGCAATTACAAGGCCCAGAACATGCTCCATTTTAGTAGCAGTATTAACATTTATGGTAATGATATCTTACATGCTTGATTCTTAAATGGACATTGTTTGTCTGGTTTTTAACTCTTAGTAAACTATTTGCAGGTAATATATTTTGCATTACCTTTGTTACATCAAGCATATTCATATTTTAAAAATCAATATACACAAAATAGTTATGGTAGATGAGCAACCCCAGATAATTATATGCCATACAAAGAGTGGTATTGCACAATAATTTACAACAATTGCAAATTATTGGGATGTAGTGACCTGCGAAAGTTAGCATGTGTTAGGCAATAACCCTTGCCTAAAAAGGAACAAGTCTGGAATACCACAAGGGCACTTAACAGATGGTAGACTGCTTGATCGTACGTCTGCTTGCATTTTAACTGCACTTAATAAATGTTAAGTTGAATGTGTGACACTATCCTTAGAAGAACTGCATATTAGTCTTTGCTAATGAAAGCTAGAAAATTAGAATGTAAATATAAAGTAGTCATGGCACAGACATATCTAGAACAGTTTTATCACAGGCAAGAAACTATCCTTTTGAAGTATCCCTGCTTTTAGAATATTGCTTGAAGTACGACATTGCTGCATACCAAGCCGTTATTATTGATTACTTGCCAAAAACGTGATTTACTTGAACCTATCACAGTTCCATCCAGAATCTGAATGTCAAGCTAGGTTTAGTGTGTGAGTGCAAATTCTACAAACTATATACATTTAACTTTTGCCTTCAGTTGCATGGGTGCAACTTCAATGGAGCTTGATTCAGTGTAAACAAGAGAAGATGTTACCCTTGCAAGTGAATCCTTTTCCTAGTCCTTTTCCCAGAGGAGAAGGCACATCTACATGTGCATTAATGCACCTTTGCTACTGTGCATTCAGTTTAGTACCTCTAATATGAGGTACTACATAAATGCGCAGTAGCAAAGATGCACGCTTTTTTGATGCTTAATGTGCAGTAGATTAATTCTACTGTGTGTTAGTGCATCAGCACAGATTTTGTTGTGATGCACTAATGCACAGTAGAATTAGTCTACTGTGCATTAAGCGTCTCATGTAGATGTGCCCAAGGTGACCCCAGCTGACTTCCTTCCCTTGGGCAGGGGCTGGACCCAATGATCACACAAGG